TTACATCACACAATTTTATTTCAAGTGGCCTTTTAATTTGATTACTTGATTCCATGTAAACTTGGCTATAGTTTGAAGGAATAAAACCATTTGAGTTTTTGGATTTGTATGGTATGCATGTTATTTTTTCACAATGACAAAATTTATGACCCCTGCACGTAAGCGGGAGTCATGTTGTTTTCGTACTGTTTTTTTTTTTCTCCAGAGATATTTGGTCAACCGTAGCACAAAAATGGCTGCATCGGTCAACATGAAATTTGGCAGGACTGTAGCTGAGTCTGACCTACACTGTGCCAGCCAACGGTTTTACGATAGACCCCAAATTTGAGGAGGGGGATCCTTTCAAAGAGGGGGGTATCTGGACATGCAAAAATGCTTATAACTCAGAAACTGTTCAACTTAGAAGCTTCAGATTTATTTTGTTGTTTAGCTCTGATGAAACTCTATCCATCAAGCCCACCAATCAGTGCCCGGACCCCCCAATTTACCTGAAAAAGGGGGTATCTGGACACACAAAAATGGTTATTGCTCAAAAACTATTAAACATATGAGCTTCAGGTTTTCTTTGTTGTTTAGCTCTGATGAGGGGCTATCCATCAGGTCCAAACCCCCCCCCCCCCCCCCCCCNCCCCCATCCAAACCACTACAATTTTGGGATGCATCTGGTAGCATGACATTTATTAGGAATAAAGACTTCTGAGTTCTGGTGTATTTGTGCGTGCGGGGCTCATTATGTTACCACTTAGCGGCAACTAGTTACAATTACTTTTTCTGCTACCCTTAAAATATTTCCGATAGCTTCAACCTCACACTGTGTTTTTGTATATCCTGGTATAAATAAACATACCATGATTTAAAAAGAACAAATGAACGAGCCTTGGTGGTTTAGATCTCTGTAGCAATTGAAACTAAAATTATTCTTTAGCAGCATCCCCACTACTTTGTACATTAACTTTAAAGTTTTATTGATTGTATGCCTTAGGTGCTTTGACAGTTTTCAGTTTTGCTTTGTTTTATAGATATTTGAATTCTAACATGTGAAACAAAGAGTAGACATGTTACCTTTGTGACTTTGAAACAATTTCATTATTTTTCAAATGATTACATACAGACAGAATTTGTGATTGTGCAATTGTCTACATCAATTTAGTTGTGTTAACTTGCTGCTTCTGTGAGTGTAGGAATTGAGCCTGCTTGGTGGGGTATGAGGAGGATTATTGGGATCTTTATTATCATACATTGGTTGTTATTATTGATTAAAAATACTTATTCAGCATCAATAACAGTAAATAAGGTGTAAAATAATATGTAGTATTTTTTGGCTTTCACAAAATTATGTCATGTTATGTTATGTTAATAAATAATATACAAACATTCCACACAGTGGATTTGTTATTATTTATTGTTTGTTTATGTTAAACATGTACTTTTTTATATTTTGGACAGTTAAAATTTGTTTAAAACTAAACAAATTTTCTGTTAAAATGAACTATTTTTGAGGCCAATGTGGATCCCTGTGCAATTTCCAACTTCTTCAACAGTCTTGATATTCCCACTGTTTCTGCAGAACCGATGATTCTGCTAGAAAAGCCTATTACACAGGAAGAAATCATTAAGGCCATCATGTCACTGCAGTCAAACAAATGTCCTGGACCGGATGGCTTCCCGACAGAATTTTTCTAAAGGTTTTCGTCACTTCTCTCACCGTTACTGTTTAGTCTTTGCAGAGTCTTGTAAACTACATGATTTACCCCATTCTTTTACTCAGGCTTGCATTACATTGATTAAAAAAAGGAAGGGACCCAGCCAACTTTGCATCGTATAGGCCCATTTCACTTTTGAACACAGATGCCAAAGTCTTAGCAAAAGTACTAGCTCACAGGTTAGATTCAATTCTTCATACCGTTATATCTAGAGATCAAACTAGCTTCATCAAAAACAGGCAGGCATATTTTAACATAGGCGACTCTTTAACATTCTTTATTCTGCTACTGATGACAGACCCGAATGCGTGATTCCTATTGATGCGGAAAAAGCATTTGATCGGGTCGAATGGCCTAACTTATTTGCTGTGCTGGAGAAATTTGGTTTCGGTCCCACCTTTATTTTATGGATTAAGTTACTTTACTCTGAACCCTCTGCCATGATCCGTACAAACTCCCAAATATCTAGCCCCTTTAACTTGTTTCGCGGCACACACCAGGGATGCCCCTCAAGCCCTATTCTCTTCAATTTGGCAATAGAACCTCTTGTTATAGCTCTCCTTAGCTGTATGGATATCCAGGGTATTTGGAGGGAAGGTGTGGAGCACAAGGTCTCCCTTTATGCGGATGACCTACTGCTTTACATCTCTGACCCAGTTATACAGTATCGCTTCCTCCAGCTTTAGCACTTCATTCATGGTTTGCTTAGTGGACTCACTGGATAGGACACAGATGCACAAGGCGGGCCTCACTTCTTCCCAACGGTCTAACAGTTAATCATGGATCACGAGATGAAGCAACACACTGCTGTACTGTCCTCACTCACATATATGAGTTTCAATTAGATATTGAGCCACACTCTGACTCAGTGACAAACAAGGTGTCCTTGTTGTGATTTCATTACACATCCTTGTTATCGCTTTGAATACAGAGTGAAACTAAAACAACATAGATGAAACATGTAATTTGCTCTTTCCAATTTATCACAGCCCTTCTTCTAACATGAAGGGGTGGTTCCCACTGCAGGCAGAGCTGGTCCCTGATTAATTGTAGCCACACGTGTTCAGTATTTAAGCAAGACCACTTATTCTTTCACTCTTCTCCTCCAGGTTAACCCTTTTTGTCCTTTGTTCCAGTTTAGGTTTTAGCTCCAGATTCACTTTAACTTTACTTTAGATTATTTTACAATGAACTAATTTTTATACGCCATTGTCTCCTATCATTTCTGTTCGTGGTGTTTGAGCCATGCCTGTGCAATAAAAACTTTACAGTAAATGGTTATTGTAAAGCTGGTTACAAACCGGACGTGTTTTGAGCAGCCAAAGCAGCTAGTTTACATGCAAAGTCTATGGTGGACGTGCATCTAGGAGCAGCACGGTGCGTTTTGTCAGTTTAGAGCAGAACACAAGGTAGCGGTAGGATGCGGCAGAGTGTTTTCCGTGCATGTGGAGCGTCTAAAGCAGCCGCTGCTCAAGTTAAAAAAACGAACTTTTGCTGCTCAACGCGCAGCAGCAACCAGAGAGAATAATTTTTCCATGTGATGGTTTCCTGAACCCGAAACAGACGGACAGGAGCTCTTTAGCTGAAATCAACCATCTGCATTTGGTGTTCTGGCTGGAGATATCAGCACTGATGTGGGTCAGCAGCTTGTTAAACTGATTGCAGTGTTAAACTGGGATTGGGACAAAAAAAAGTCTGTCAGCTCGCAGTTCCTGGAGTGGTGAAACTAACCGAACAGACCGACTCTAAATTATCTGGTGAATTAATTATCTGCTGTGCGCAACGTCCGCTTGCTCTTCAGTAAATAAAGCAAAGCCATTTTCTTTATTTTTTCTTTAGTCACGCTCCTCCCTCTTCAGACACACGTCTGGTCTGCTGCTGCGTTCACAACAAACTTGAGTGGTTGGGGGCATTTTTGCTGCTCAAAATGCGTTTGGTGGGAACCCAGCTTAATGGAACTGAAAATCTTATAGTTGATAAATATAACTCCCACCATGTAAATAATAACAAATTGTCCACAGAAATGCCTATTTCAACAGGAAAGCAGCAAATCAATAAATTATAGCTTAGTCTGCATTAACTCGCTGTGAGACGGCACCCTCTGCTGATGCATAGCAATTTGCTTGTTTTAACTACCTCGACAAGCTTATTTGTAAAGCACATATTCACAAATAAAATCACTGAGACAAGAAATAGTAATACATACAGGTGTTACTTCTTCATGAGTTACACAAAGGGTTTTCCCATTTTCATCTTGTAGAGCATGCTTTCATTGCACTGCACTAGTACGTGTTGCACTGACTACTCACAACCGACACGTCCTGTTTTACCATAATTTTTCAATGTCAAAATAAAAGCATGCCTTGAAATAAATAGTTCGTTAACAAAGAATGGTGGACCAACTGAATGCTTAAATAAGTTCAAAAGTATAAACTTGTTGCACCACTGCATATGTTAGCAAGTTAACAAAAAGGAATTACTTCTTATGTTCTATCCAAGAGGAATATAATGTGGAACTAAAAAAAATAAGTCTAAGGTAGATAAAACTATTAATACTGATAATATGCATGTTTTGGAGTACTAGTCAAAAAATTGTCTTGAGAAACATAAAAATTTACCATCCTACATAATTGACAAGATATTAACTTTAATTAACTTTTGCTGAAAAGTATATAATTATATGCTGAGAAAATATTCTTGACTTTTTTTTACAAAGAAAAATACATAAAACATAAAAGTCCCTCCTACCTACGTATCTACCTACTTATAGTTCCACAGAGGCATGGCTCTGTTTTAATAGGGTACAAGCTGACTCTAAATTCATAAATACTAGTTAATTTCTTTATTTCACATTAATATTCATGAAATTTAGCCCTATGTTGTACTTTCTCAGATGACATAATGTCCAGTCAGTGGTGGCCAAACCAATTGTGTGCACTTTTACAGCTGTTCTTTTTGGTCTCTTCCTCACAGCCTGAAGAGTCATTGTGCAGACGTAGAGGAGATCCTGAGATCCCTCAACTATCTAAGGATGGAGACATTATGTTGGGAGGAATCTTCTATTTTCACCTCAGCTGGAAGAACATACAGAATACTTACACTCAAAAACCCCTGCCGTTGGAATGCATCAGGTAAATTATTTTAATAAATACATAAATCTCATAACATCCGTTCTTAATATTGCATAAATCTTGAGTTTTACTGTTTTAAATACATGAAATGATAGTAGATTCTAAGGAAACACTGTATTTCAAATATATATATTTGTCTCAATGAAGTTTGAGTTTCAGAGACTTTCAGTTTGCTCAAGCAATGCGGTTTGCCATTGAAGAAATAAACAACAGTACAGACCTACTTCCAGGCATTTCTCTGGGATATAATATTTATGACACTTGCAGTTCCATTGTCAGAAGCATTAAAGTTGCACTTGCCTTGACCAATGGTAATAAAAATGTGTCTATAACTTCTAATAAGCCATGTACCAGACCTGGTGAAGTACTGGCTATAGTAGGAGAAAACTCTTCCTCCTCCAGCACAGCAGTGACTACTGTTATTGGTCCTTTTCATATGCCACTGGTGAGTACAATTGATAAAAATGAATAAATATTTAGGCTTAAACTTCTTCACTTAGTGAAACAAAGCTACATCTAATTTGTGACTGTTATACAACTTACAAATTCAACTTTTACAAGTTTTAATATATGTTGCAAATCTTATTTTTTTCTGTTTTTATTTCAGATCAGCCACTTTGCAACATGTGCTTGTCTCAGTGATAAATCTAAGTACCCATCCTTTCTCAGAACCATACCCAGTGACTACTATCAGAGCAGAGCCCTGGCTCATTTAGTAAAGCACTTTGGATGGACTTGGGTTGGGGCTGTTAGAACCAATGATGATTATGGCAATAATGGCATGGCAACGTTCACAGAAACTGCAGAGCAGCTGGGCATCTGTCTGGAATATTCTGTTTCTTTCTTTAGAACAGATTCATCTGAAAAATTGCAAAAGATAATTGATATTATCAAGGCTTCAACTTCAAAAGTGATTGTTGGTTTTCTAACTCCTAGAGAAATGGAGATTATTTTACATGAGTTGTCCCTTTATAACCTGACAGGATATCAGTGGGTCGGCAGTGAGTCGTGGATCTTTGATTCTCAAATTGCAGCAATGGATAAGAATCACATCCTGGATGGAGCTATAGGACTTTTTATCCCTAAAGCACACGTCAGTGGTCTGAAAGAGTTCATGCTGGATGTAAAGCCATTCAATTCATCAAATAATGGCTTGTTTACAGAGTTCTGGGAGGCATTATTTAACTGCAAGTTCAAGAAGTCACAATCAAAGGAGAGTCAGACAGAATGTAGTGGACATGAGGATCTGACTGCAGTAGAAAACAGCTTCACTGACATGTCCCTCATGCCTATTTTTAACAATATTTACAAAGGAGTGTATGCAGTGGCCCATGCTCTGCACAATATTCTTGGATGTAATAAGACATGCAACAGCAGTGTGCCGCTGGAACCATTTACTGTGAGTTGAATAAGATTATATAACATGATTGCATTAGCAATTACCAATAAATAATAACATAACATGAAAAAAATGTAATAAAATAATTTGTTTTAAAATGTTAAGAATTTATATTGTTAAAAAAATTAGTACTCATCTATTTGATATTTTATTTATATTTATTTAAACAATAAATATATATTGTTTTAGATTTTGCGGCACATTCAAAAAATTCACTTCCAGACAAAAGAAGGAGAGGAGGTTTACTTCAATGAAAACGGAGATCCAGCAGCAAAATACGAGATTATTAACTGGCAGCCAAGAAACAGCGGCATTGTGGATTTTGTTTCTGTTGGTCTTTATGATTCATCGTTACATCAGGTCAAACAGCTAAATCTGCAAAATAAGACTTTCATTTGGGCGCAGAGTTCAAAACTGGTAAAAAAAATTATACCTGGCAGTTCTGACACTTTTATTGCCTTCCATCTTTCATACCAGACTTTTACATTAGTACAAATGTATTGTAACATGTCAGAGTTTTAGCCTTTTTTAAACAAAATTTTGCTTAATATCTGTAAAACTTATTGTGGTAGAGGCAACTTTTAACTATTGTAAGGTAGGCTATGTAAATTCAGTTAACTCAAAAAAGTTAATTAATTGTAAACATCTTATATGTTCAATAATTGCTTTATGAGGGTTTCAGTAAAGTTCATTCTCTAATCTATGAGGCATTAAAAGATAAAATCTTGTTAAAATGGATGGATGGATAGATGGATGGATGCATGGATGGATGGATGGATGGATGCATGGATGGATGGATGATGGATGAATGGATGGATGGATGGATGGATGCATGGATGGATGGATGGATAGATGGATGGATGCATGGATGGATGCATGGATGGATGGATGCATGGATGGATGGATGCATGGATGGATGGATGGATGCATGGATGGATGGATAGATGGATGGATGGATGGATGGATGGATGGATGGATGGATGGATGGATGGATGGACATTCCATAGTTACAGTTTGGAAGTTTAAACAAAATCCAACTTTAGATTCAGAAGTATTTTTTGCTTAAAGTCAGTTGAACAAACAGAAGCTTACACACATATTACATTTATTGTTCACTTTTTATTTACATTGATTACAGAAGTAATAGTCAATGTAAATAATGCTGCTTTGGTTCTTGCAGGTTCCGGTGTCAGTTTGCAATGAAAAGTGTCCTCCAGGAACACGTAAAGTCCTCCAGAAAGGAAAACCTGTTTGCTGCTATGACTGTATAAGATGTGCAGAGGGAGAAATGAGCAACATCACAGGTTATAAAGTGTTTATTATTCATTTTTGAAATTTCCATCAGTAAACAACTATGTTTTAGGTTTTATACCACAGCTAAAGTATGTTTTGAATCATCAACATTTTTATTTATTTTTCTTTGTTTGAAATAATTAACATTTTTTTTCACATGAAATTGAAATGAAAGAACTGGATCAGAGCAAGAAACTGTGAACCCTGTGAGTGTTTACTGGATATCCCATTTACCACACAAAGTGGCATTTGTTTAGGACAGGTTTGAAAAATAGTAAAATTAAGCAGCATTTACGGAGTGAAATGATTAAAAGTGCAATTTTTACAGCACCTTATTATTGTTATTGGTTGCTGTTTACCAGTTAGAGAAATTGACTAATAGGCCCAGTCAATGGGTGCATGTTTTCTGAATTTTCATCACAGTCATGAACAAATAACTTGAATTCTATGTTGGAATGCCTAAGTACTGAAGCTGATAGCAACCATTTTCCACATGTGATTTTTTTTCCAAGGTTTTCTCAATATAATTAGTTCATTATGTAGTTATCCCAAAATTACAAGTAGCATTTTATTGAGATAACGTGTTAATTTCCCAATGGTTTTCTCGAGATAACCAGATATGGTTTTCTTGTGCATCATTCAGTAACCATGGAAATATCCCGATCCTCAGCTGATGGCCAATAAAGTTTATTATATCAGCAGGATCACTGTGTAAACGCCTGCTGATCTGCAGTCAGGCCAGCCATCTCGTTAAATGATGAGGGCTGATATGAAAGTGATCTGTAAAAGTCAAACAAATCCCAATTTCGGCCTGTGTAATGGATACAAAAATGAAACATAATTATGTACACTAGGTTGCCTTCAAGCCCAGTCCACCCTTGCAAAAAAAATCTGCAATCTCATTGGGATTTGCTGATAAGTAAGTAAGTAAGTCAATAAGTAAGTCAGTAAGTAAGTCAGTAAGTAAGTCAATAAGTAAGTCAGTAAGTAAGTCAATAAGTAAGTCAGTAAGTAAGTCAGTAAGTAATTCAGTCAGTCAGTCAGTCAGTCAGTCAGTCAGTCAGTCAGTCAGTCAGTCAGTAAGTAAGAAATAAGTCAGTAAGTAAGTCAGTAAGTAAGTCAGTAAGTAAGTAAGTAAGTAAGTAAGTAAGTAAGTAAGTAAGTAAGTCAGTAAGTAAGTCAGTAAGTAAGTCAGTAAGTAAGTCAGTAAGTCAGTAAGAAAGTCAGTCAGTAAGTAAGTAAGTAAGTAAGTAAGTAAGTAAGTAAGTCAGTAAGTAAGTCAGTATATCAGTAAATCAGTAAGTAAGTAAGTCAGTAAGTCAGTAAGTAAGTAAGTCAGTCAGTCAGTAAGAAAGTCAGTAAGTAAATAAAGTAAGTAAGTAAAGTACGTAAGTCAGTAAGTAAGTCAGTCAGTCAGTAAGTCAGTAAGTAAGTCAGTAAGTTAGTAAGTAAGTAA